CAAATAGTTGGACACTATTTGAAGGGACTAAAGATTAAGATTGTTGAGAGAAAGAGGAAGGAATGTAAAGTTGTTTTATTTGACAAAAATTAAAATATATAGGTTGCTAATTTTTAATGAACCTTTTTGTGACCAGGACTGTATTATGGTGTTTTAAGGTTTTGTTTAAAGATACAGCTTATATATAATGGGATAGAAAAATGTTTATTTGAGATTCCCTGTAACAATATTAACAGAGGATAATGTGGCTCAGGGACAGCAGGGCATTTTCAGTTGAAGTATTGAAAATACTTCAACTTTTCATTGAAGTATTTCTTTTTATCTGTCCTTTCATTCAGCATCATTGGAAGAACTCACTTTCTACAACCATATCATAAGAATGTCTTTATTGATTCCTGCAAATGAAACAAACTAAATATGAAAAAGTTATGATATTGATGTAGTTACTTATCAAGCACATCTAAATTATATTAAAGTAACCAAAATATCTTTACAATCCTCAAGGCACATCACAACTTTTGAGCATGCCTAATGTTTGGAAATTGAAAGTTGGAAAATTTGACATGCCCTATAAAAATCCTGCATGCTATAATTCTATATATATTTAATTAAGTATAATTCTAAATATATTGACTTTATTCTCTTAATTTTTTAAATCTAAAAAGCCCCAGAGTTGTAAGTTTTTATTATAATGAAATTGATCTAGCCTCTAGAAAATTTTACCTGCTGTTCAGTTTTTTCAGCTATTATTCTTTTTTAGACTATGGTAATGCCATAGAAAACTAATATAAAAATATTGCAGATCTATTTTTTATGGTGTCTAACATAAAATGGTTTGTTTGGGTAGCAGCTGCTCATTCGTTCTATATTTTTTATCAGGATCACAATATCAGGATCCCTTTTCTGGTCAGTCACCACAGCTCGAATTTTAACATAAATGTATGTCAGCTCTCCAAAATAGAAGAAACTTAGAAACCGAAGACACATAAGCTAATACTACTTTTGTATAAGATTATAATAAAAGAATCATGCAGGTCTGAAAATACTTCCCTCCCCTTCGCTTTATCTTCATGACAATGTCTGAGACATCTTCTCAAATTACATTTCTGCCCCAGACTTAGATTTATTTTATTTGACCATTGTCTAGGTTGCTGCTCTCCCTCCTTTTCCACAAGATTATCCCTTCTGTCCATTACATTGTAAAGTTGCATTTTTTAAAACCTACAGACATAATGTTATATTTGCTTATACTGATTTGTGTATAACCATGCTAATGCCAAATTCCTCAATATGAGGAAAAGCTCATGGAAACATAGAATTGGAAAGAGTCATTTAGATAGTTCAACTTTTTTCTTTTCATCATTCTAATTATATCAGGGTTATCAGCAAACACGAGCACCGTTTATTTCATTCAGTTGAAAGAGTTATACATTTATTTAAGTTATTTGTTCTGAAATCAGTTACATATTTAATACTTTTCTTATCCTGTCATTGGGATGTATTTAAAGGTAGCACTGATTGTTAAACATTGTGTCTGACAGCTTGGCATAGACACATAATATAAGCATTTGTGGATAGTAGTTAAAATGCACAGAGAAAGGAATCTATATTGGCCCCAAATAAGATTTCGATTGTAACAGGATTTATTTATGGTAACAGTTACAATTGCTGCAGAGCCAGGGCATTGCTCAGCAATCTTCCTTCCTCCTTTCCAATTGTCTGCACCCTGTGTGCCTTAGTGAAGAGGTCTAGGACTTTGCCTGAATGAGAAGATGATGCTTCTGTTGCTATGATTCGTGTTGTTTGGTGGCAATTGGCTGCTGAGAAAATCATAATGCTGGGTCAGTGAGGCAAGGTAGGAAAATGACCCAGAATGCTTTTCAAGGAGTAAGTGGAAATCACTGCAAAGACAATAGCAGCAACAAAGCTATGCATGGTCTGTTGGGGATAATGGGTAAATTGTTGGGTTAGGAAACTATACTTTGAGTCTGAGCAGTGTCTATTGTTGGCCTCCGAAGATCAGATTCATTTCAGTGTACTGTACTAGTTCCAGCCATACTGTGTCTTGAATATGTATATATCGTTTTCATGCTATTCCAGGGAAAAATATGAAGGGAGGGGAATGGCCTTATGTGGCTTCCTGAACTTATTCTGTTTTCAATTATAGATCTCTACCTCGTTGTCCTTCTCTTTCTATTTCCTTGGACTCTGATTATAAGATTCCATTTGTTGTTATTTACTCGGTACTTTCAAGGAAACAAGTTCACATATTCTTGCTTTATTAAAACTTAAAGCAACTTTGGAAGGAAGAATCAGTTTGCTAAATCTATCTATAAAGCTTATAACAACTGATGCTACTGCTGTTTCTTAAATACTCAAACCTGAAGCTGTCAGTTTTTATCCAAACTCTTAAACAATACATGGTGTATATCCAGTGCAATCTGCTTGATTTGTGAGAAAAGAAATCTATCCTGTGTTTTTGAATTCTGAGTAAAGCTTCAGGTAACAAGAACATTACCCAACAGCTGAAGTATTAATCTACCATGCGTTTAGCGTTTATAAGGTTAATGCTGTCCCAGTGGTATTTGTGTGCAGAAGAAACATCACTCTGTTGCTTAGGGAATCTGTCCTGTGTGCTGGTTGCTACAAGATATAATGTTACAATGCTTACTGTCTCTGCCCTTGGTCCAAGAATAGCACAACATTGCAAACCTCCTTATGACTCCCCTTTCTGTATCCATCTCCTAAGTCAAAAGACTGAACACAAGGAAGGTCAGCTCCTTGTCAGGCTATATCCATAAAGCTGATGTGATAATTGTATAGCAGTTATTTTTAGTGGTAAAATACCACTGTTGCTAGTTCTGTAGTGACCTTGCTTCCTCGGTTAAAATGTAAAGGAATGTAAAGGCTATCCGCTTAGAAATATATACTGTAAGATTTGAGCATTGCAACATGTAGTCTCTACAGGTGGCCATATACAATTTAAAAATAAATAAAATAAATTACTATTGCTGTCTATTTTGCTTATATGATGAGGAAGCATGGGAGAAATGCAATCTTTGATCATCAGCACATATATTTTAGGATACTCATTTTCTTTTGCATCAGTTTGTGCTTTTCCATTTTGAATTTCATCTACCTTTTTATCTAATTTGAGGATGCCATTCTGGAATCTTGCAGAATTTTTTGGAAATAACAGTAAATAATTTGTTGTTTGCTTATTCATTCAATTTATACAGCCACCCATCTTGAACAAATGACTCTGAATGAAAATGGAAATAAAAAACATAAATATAATCATAACAGTAGAAAGTAAAAATAAAAATAAATAAAGCATGATGGCCAAGCAAATCAACAATAATAACAATAACTCATAGTTCATTAAATTCTTGACCCCAATGTCTGGAAGAACAGCCAGGTCCTGAAGGCCTTCTGAAAGCCAGCAGTGTCAGAACTAATCTAATCTCAGGGGAAATATTTCAAAAGGTAGCCAGTGCAACAAAAAGGCATGTATTCTAGTCTAATCAGATCCTTAATAAGTGGAACCTGGACATGCCCCTCCCACCAGATCTGTTGAGGTGGTAAACCTGTATCATCTCTGTTTACCTATATGCATACATTGAACAGTAGTGATCCAGTTTTGCTTTGCATATCTGGTTTTATTCTTTGGAGACTTTAAGATAAAAAAAAACTGTATTTGACTACTAATTCTTTATTGATAGGGGCCTGCTATAGAAATAAATTATATATACTATATACTCTGTGTGTGTATAGATGGATAGGATAGGATATGTAATGTATGTTCAGGTAATTCTCAACTTACAACCATGAGCCCCAAATTTCTGTTTCTAAGTAGGGCAGTTATTAAGTGAGTTTTGCACCATTTTATAACCTTTTTGGCACAGTTATTAAGAGAATCACTGCAGTTGTTAAGTGATTCCTGTGGTCGTTAAGCGAATCTGGCTTCCCTCATTGACTTTGCTTGTCAGAGGCCAGCTGGGAAGCTTACAGATGATGATCTCATCATCCCAGGATGGTGCAACTATCATAAATATATGTCAGTTGCCAAGTGCCCAAATGTTGATTGCATGTCCATGGGGATGCAGCAACAGTCGTAGTGTGAAACCCAGTCATAAATCACTTTTTTCAGTGCCGTTGTAACTTCAAATGGTCATTAAATGAATGTTTGTAAGTTGAGGACTACCTACAATATATGTATCTCCTGAAGGATGGCTGTTCTTTCATGTGGAACTCATGTGGAACTTATATATTCAAAAGAATATATGGTTAAATTTAACTGAAAAAGCTTTGATTTTTATATTTTCCATAGTGATAGCAACACGTCTACTGCATTATAGTTTGTGCTTAACCACTGTAAAACAAGTTGATTTTAAAACGGAGATAGAATGGATAAGTGAGACATCTAAAGATTTAAACGGTAGAATTCATTTTGGAGAAAAAAGCATTAAGGGAGGTGTTCGGCACCTCTTCCCCTTGTTTTTTTTCCCCTCCCTTTGCCAATCCCCTCTCTTCTTTTGCCTTCCTTTCCCATTTTGTTACAAACCTCCTTTATTTGTTTCAGTATCAAACAACTTATTTTTCCTCAGTAGATATCAAATTGTAACAAATATTTTCCACTCCAGATTATGGTATTCCATTGTAAGTAATCTCATGTAGCCAAAGTATCTTCTGAGAAATCAACCTTTTTTAGATGTCCTTATCATCTAAATCATCTGTGTTTATATTATTTTTTTATTACAACAATGTGTTCCCTCCACCGATGGAAAGATAAAAGAACAACGATATCTGTGTTGCAAAATTGAACTTTTATTCAAAGATTTACTTGAACCCTGGTCAACAGAAACAAGTCTCTAGACAATTGTCCTGTTGAGCCCTCTATCCTATGAATAAGTGTTCTGTTTTGGGTTTAATTCATTATCATCCTAGGTTGTTTGAGAATGAAGAAAATGCTGAATCATTTATTGTTTCCTGCTTTTTAGGCACTCCACCAGCTATATTATGACCCCAACATTGAAAACAAGAACCTGGCCCAGAAATGGCTGATGCAAGCTCAAGTATCACCACAAGCTTGGCACTTCAGTTGGTTGCTTCTTGATATGGACAAGGTGCCTGAGATCCAATACTTTGGGGCCAGTGCCCTCCACATTAAGATTTCACGCTACTGGAATGACATCCCTGCTGACCAGTACGAGAGCCTTAAATCACAGCTCTTCAGTCACATAACTCATTTTGCTAGTGGTTCCAAAATTGTGCTGACCCGCCTTTGTGTGGCATTGGCTTCATTAGCGCTGAACATGATGCCAGAGGCTTGGCCATGTGCTATTGCTGACATGGTACGCATGTTTCAGGCAGAGGACTCTAACGTAGATGGGCGAGCACGCTGCCTTGCACTCCTGGAACTTCTGACAGTGCTGCCTGAGGAATTCCAAACCAGTCGTCTGCCTCAGTACCGCAAGGGGCAGGTACGTAGTGTCTTGTCACAGGAGTGCACATCTGTGTTCCCTCTGCTAGAACAATTGTTGCAACAGCAAGACTCTCCTGGTTTCATTAAGCAAAAAGTGCTGAAGTGTTTCTCCAGTTGGGTGCAACTAGAGATTTCTTTGATGGAATGTGAGAACTTGATCCAAGCATCTTTCACTTCTCTGCATGATCCAGAACTCTTCGACATTGCTGTGGAGGCTATTGTCAATGCCATTTCCCAGCCCGATGCTCAGAGGTAAGCATAGCATCACATTATGAGCCAGTTATGGTTTTAAATGTTGGCAACCTTAGATATAAACTGTTTATTTCCATACGCAGTCTGATATTTTTATTGATAGAACTTTCCTCAGACATTTTGATTTCATTGCAAAAGCGTGTGTAATTCTTGTAGTGTTCTCGGACGAAGAATGCAAACGAGTGAATCTAATACATGAAGTTTTCAAATGTTCTTGAAAGCAACATCTTGGTAAGAATAAAGAATTTTATTTGAGCAACCCTTTAAAAGCAAGTGTTATCTTCTTTGTCACTTTTCATTATACAGTATTTTATTAAAAAAGAACCTCTAGTGCTTTTATTTAGGTGAGAAGTATCAGTAATTAGTTTCCTTTGAAATAGACTTAACTAGTAAGCATCAAAAGTCAACCACAACTATAGTTAATCTATAAGATTACCTCTTACTTGTTTTTTGATAGGGGCGCTACCAATATATAACCTCCAGCAAGATTTACTGCTGGTTTGATCTCTGCTTTCAGACAGATTTTTAACTTATACCAGTGGCATCTTATTTGCAAGTATTACTGCTTGAAGTTTCTTGCTTTGTACAATGTGGGAAAAACATAGACATCACTGGTGGAGCTGAGAGATTATTTGAAAAAGAGAATTATTCAGTTTATCTTCACTGAGGTTCACTAGTGTCCATAATTTAGTAGTCCATTTAGGAAGATAGATGAATTGTATTAATAGAGAAATTGAGAATTACATCCATTTCAGAAAATGGACATTGTTAATGAGTTTTTACGTGATTACACTTGTGGTTTTATGAGAAAATATAATATGCAACTAGGAATGTTTGTGTATGGATACTTCTTGACTTACAATCATAATTGATTCCAGAATTATAGTCGTAGGTCATTGTATCTTAAGTCGAGGTATTATATGACAGGATTCAAAGCTATGACCATTTTTACCAGAGTCATTAAGTGAACGCCATTGGTCATTAAGCAAACCAGCAGTAGTTAAATCCATTTTCCCCAGTGGGTATATTTTGCCACAAACTGAAAGTAAATGCCAGAAACAGGTAAAAGAGCACAAGTTACAGGCATGTGAATGTGTGTCACTGCAAATGGCTATAAAGATGAGTCTTTTGCCAAGCTCCTAAAATGTGATTGTATGACCATAGAGAGAGTTTAAGTGTGTGCACGCAGTTGTTGTAGCTACAAAACCAGGTAGTAAGTAGCTCTGCAGAGGTCCATCATAACTTTGAATGGTGTTAAAGCAACTGTTGTAAGTCAAGGACTACCTGTATAATTTTCTTCCTGTCTTCACTTTTTTCCCCTTTTCCCTGTCCATGTTTCTTCACAATAAAGATAAAGTATTTGAGTAGAAATCTTGATTAAAATATATTATTGAAGAAACCGGTATTGTGATTCCTCAGTAGATTTAACTATTATTGATGACAGATATTTTACATTTGGATATGTATGGTATATTCAGCCTAGAGAGGAAAATTATAGGGAACATAATATTAGTTCCCTATAGATGTATCTGAAAGGTGGCAGAATATATCACTACTTACTGTTAAAAGGAATGTTGGACTACAGTTGCCAAACTTAGTTGGACTCGAGGAAGTATCATATCTCAAAAGTGTACTACTGCAAAACTATGGGAGCTTGCTAAACAAAAATGGGTTATAAAATAATTTTACTACTGAAAAGTCCACACAGGATATCACCTGTAAAAATAGAAAATTTGCTCCCCCCTCCAGGATGTGGTTGGTAGTAGTGAAAGTCATGTAAAATCTCATAATGGGGCTATGAAATAATATAACATAAGTCTATTTCTCTCTTCCTTTTTGAAAGCTTCAGAGAAGGTGAACCATATATACTGTTCTGTTAGATTAATTAATAAAGATGTATGGAAGGAATGATCCAGGATTGCTTAGATCTTTATTCTTTCTGATTTAAGTTGAATTGGATTACCTTTGGCTGGAAAAATATTTTAGTTCAGTTATCTTGTCTGTGTATTATTTAGTCTTTTACAGTATTTTTAAAGTGTTCTTTTGAGTTGCATTTCCATTCCTGCATATACTAATGCAGAACTGGTTTCATTTGAATTGCTCCTTAGCCGTACATATAGTCCTGTTCCTTTTTAACCCTATGTAACCCATATTTGCTTCTCATCCTCCCAGATATTCATGTTACTCCTAGCTTCTAAATTCCAACTACCTGATATATTTTTTTAGTCTGTGGGCTTGTTTCACACCAAAATGTGATATTCTACTAAATGATCAATGTAAAGCAAGATGGGCCTGGAGTTTTGAAAGCTGTTAAAACAAATTAGTGGAGATATTTGGCTTATTCTTCCAGTGCAGAGTCCAGCATTACGGATAATAAGAGGGGACAGAAAGCTTTTGATTTTTTCAGTGCTTTAAGCATAGCATAGGTATGGTCTTCCACCTGTATCTATGGCCTATATTTGAGATAGTCAGGTGGGTGGGCAAGTTCAGAATAAGCATATCTCTTCATAGTCTGCCTCAGTAGCCAGGAAATTGAAAACTGGCTGATTAGCCATCAGCGTAGCATCTCTCTTGTCTCCCTTGAGTCCATCCCTTGCTCTTCCTCTCCATTTCCTCCATGCTTGTTGTCATAGTTACAATCACTTATTGGCAGCAATAGGAAGATTGACAGGCAAGAAATTACTTATATGGTTTCTGGAATGCTGTAGTGCACTGGTAAAATACTAGCAATCTGGATGCCTCAGAAAAGTATTGTGTGAACCTTTACATTTGATTTGAGGAAATGAATAGTCAGAGATTGTAACTCTTTCAAATTCTCCTCCCATTAACAGATTCTTCTGCTTAAACAATGAATATCATATATTTTCAAATATGTATTCCACTTCACCCATAACAGATTAAAATGAGGGGTCTTAAGAATAGCAGAATTATACCAAAGATGTAAGCTTTCTTCTAAAGCTTGACTCAACTTCTTTCTTGCATATTTCAAATAGACCTATTTCAAAATAAAAGTATTGCACTTCTAAAGTCTGTTGCATGCAGAAATTAAATATATGAATAAAGCTGGCAAATTTCAGAAAAGTAATCACATTTCAGCTGTTGGGGTAAAACTGAAATATTATAAATTACTGTGTCAAATAAAGTTTGTTCCAATTTATGCAGATCAGGCCTTAGGTGGCACTTATGGCGGCTGCTAGGAGTGTGATGTACGGAAGTGAAAATGTAGTGATGCCAAGTGTTTTGGGAAACGGTAAATTCCATATTGTCCTTCAAGGTGATTTTGGATACATTAAAAGCTTGATTGGAAAAAAAAACACTTGAGGTGAAGTGATTAAGATTTGGCCCAGTATCACAAAGTGTCAGACTCAAATCACCTTCAGAAATGGATGATTGGGCCACTTATTCACTCTCAGCCCTTTCAGAGGATTGTTGTGGGGAAAAATGAGAGCATTCTGTATTCCTCCTTAAGTTTCTGATACATCTAATCAATAATAAAAAAGCAGTAATAATGACATTTTGGGAGAACAATGATCATACAAAAAGAAATACTAATTAAACAATCTGGTTCCTTGGTTAGTATCGTTGAGGACAGGTCAGGTGTCTACACAAGTTAGAGATCACATTTCTGAGTGTGTGAATTGGGCAGGCAGGTATGCTTTTTCAAATCCATGTATTAAATTATATGCTGCCCTTTTGTTCCTCATTATTGCTTGCATAATGGCAGAGTCAGTCATGAAAGAATTTCTTATTTTGGGGGGATAGAAAATAAATAAAATTGTACAATAATGGTTTGTACCTACATACAGTATACACACACAATAAGTTCTGATGAGAATGACGGAGGGAGAATGTATTCTTGTTGACTATTATGAGAACAATATTGTTTATTCCAGATAAACATTTGAAAAACATTTCCAAGCTGCTTTTAGGGAAACCTCATAATGTGGATTCCCTAATTCATGTAAAATAGTCAGCAATTAAAAACACTTGAGTCTGAAAATGTATCCTGGGAAAAATCAAATCAAATATAAATTGAGGCTAACATATTAATCCTGCATTAATGGAAATGTGAAGCATTGAGTAAAAAGAGTCAGCACAAGGCAAGACTTCTTTGATTAGTGGTCTAGGTATGGCCCAATTATGGATCACTGTCCACATCAAATGATAGTAATGAGAACTCTGAGAAAAACTTCTGAAGTTTACAATGTTTTCAATAGTCCTTAAGCATTTTCATCCAGTTATTTTACCATATTATTTTTAATCTCTATTGGACAATATCCCCCTCTTCTCCTCAGTGTATAGAAACTTGTTAAATCCTTGGACAGGTAAACTCGAGATTCTGGCCTTGCTAAAGTATTTATATACCTGAGGGAAGGGTAACCATGATATTTAGAGGATTTATTTGATTTATATCTTGCCTTTATTACTTTATAAACTAACTTAAGCAGCAAGCATGCATAATTTTATGTATTTATTTGCATTCCACCTTTACAGGTAGTCCTTGTCTTACAACAGTTCATTTAGTGACCGTTCAAAGATAGCACTGAAAAAGTGATTTGTGACTATTTTTCACACTTGCACTGTTGTAGCATCGCCAGCATCATTGGATCAATTCAGATGCTTGGCAACTGACTCGTTTCTGACAGTTACAGTGTCCCAGGGTCATGTGATCACCTTATGCAACCTTCTAACAAGCAAAGTCAATGGAGAAGCCAGATTCACTTAACACCTGTATTACTAACTTAACAACTGCAGTGATTCACTTAGCAATTGTGGCAAGAAAGGTCATAAAATGAGGCAAAATTCATTTAATGAATGTCTTACTTAGCAACAGAAATTTTGGACTCCATAGTGTTTGTAAGACAAGGATTATTATAATTCAAGGTGGTGAACATATCCAACATACCCTGCTCCTCCTATTTTCCCCAGAATGACCACCCTGTAAGGTGGGTTGGGCTGAGAAAGAGTGACTGACTCAAGGTGACCCAGCTGACTTTCATGAATAGAATGGGACTAGAACTCAGTCTCCTGGCTTTTAGGCCAGCACCTTAATCATTACATCTAATACATTATTCTTCAAATGAAAATCCAGTTGCTTTGAGTTTGCATGATCAAACTTTGTTAAATTATAATTATGAAGATGAAGTGATTTAAATATTTTCCTACATATATTGATTTTATTTATTTGAAATAGAAAGTCTCCTCCTGCATTGCAGAACCAGCTTAATGCATAGCTACCTGATTTAGATGGCATAAAATAATGTTGTATGGTGTTGTATAACTTGAGCCCTTTACGTCCTATAAAAGTGTACAGGTGAAACTCGAAAAATTAGAATATCGTGCAAAAGTTCATTTATTTCAGTAATGCAACTTAAAAGGTGAAACTAATATATGAGATAGACTCATTACATGCAAAGCAAGATAGTTCAAGCCGTGATTTGTCATAATTGAGATGATTATGGCTGACAGCTCATGAAAACCCCAAATCCACAATCTCAGAAAATTAGAATATTGTGAAAAGGTTCAATATTCTAGGCTCAAAGTGTCCCACTCTAATCAACTAATTAAGCCATAACACCTGCAAAGGGTTCCTGAGCCTTTGTATGGTCTCTCAGTCTGGTTCAGTAGGAATCACAATCATGGGAAAGACCGCTGACCTGACAGTTGTGCAGAAAACCATCATTGACACCCTCCATAAGGAGGGAAAGCCTCAAAAGGTAATTGCAAAAGAAGTTGGATGTTCCCAAAGTGCTGTATCAAAGCACATGAATAGAAAGTTATGTGGAAGGGAAAAGTGTGGAAGAAAAAGGTGCACAAGCAGCAGGGATGACCGCAGCCTGGAGAGGATTGTCAGGAAAAGGCCATTCATAAGTGTTGGGGACTTTCACAAGGAGTGGACTGAGGCTGGAGTCAGTGCATCAAGAGCCACCACACACATGGACATGGGCTTCAAATGTCGTATTCCTGTTGTCAAGCCGCTTCTGAACAACAAATGTCAGAAGCGTCTTACCTGGGCTAAAGAAAAACAGAACTGGTCTGTTGCTCAGTGGTCCAAAGTCCTCTTTTCTGATGAGAGCAACTTTTGCATCTCATTGGGAAACCAAGGACCCGGAGTCTGGGGGAAGGATGGAGAGGCACACACTGCAAGGTGCAGTGTGAAGTTTCCACAGTCTGTGTTGATTTGGTGAGCCATGTCATCTGCTGGTGTTTGGTTCACTGTGCTTCATTCAGTCCAGGGTCAATGCAGCCGTCTACCAGGAGATTTTGGAGCACTTCATGCTTCCTTCCACAGACAAGCTTTATGGGAATGCTGACTTCATTTTCCAGCAGGACTTGGCACCTGCCCACACTGCCAAAAGCACCAAAACCTGGTTCAATGAACATGGGATTACTGTGCTTGATTGGCCAGCAAACTCGCCTGACCTGAACCCCATAGAGAATCTATGGGGCATTGCCAAGAGAAAGATGAGAGACATGAGACCGAACAATGCAGAAGAGCTGAAGGCCGCTATTGAAGCATCCTGGTCTTCCATAACACCTCAGCAGTGCCACAGGCTGGTCGCTTCCATGCCACGCCGCATTGAGGCAGTAATTGCTGCAAAAGGGGCTCAAACCAAGTACTGAGTACATATGCATGCTTATACTTTTCAGGGGTCCGATATTGTTCTATGTACAATCCTTGTTTTATTGATTGCATGTAATATTCTAATTTTCTGAGATTGTGGATTTGGGGTTTTCATGAGCTGTAAGCTATAATCATCACAATTATGACAAATCACGGCTTGAACTATCTTGCTTTGCATGTAATGAGTCTATCTCATATATTAGTTTCACCTTTTAAGCTGCATTACTGAAATAAATGAACTTTTGCACGATACTCTAATTTTTCGAGTTTCACCTGTAGATGTAGTTTTTGGTGATGTTCCAAAAATTATTACTGAGCACCAAAGTCAGTTTAACATGCTTGAAGGGGAAAATATAGAAAAATGTGGAAAGTAAACATGTTAACTGCACTTAATTTATTAAATAGAATTTTTATGCATCATACAGACAAACTAATGTATTTCTGCACTATAGCACTAGGAAATTACTGCAAGGCTAAATACAATTTTTGTTCCAAAAATTTTCACACACTTGGTTTAAAGAAATAAAAGAAATTGATGTTCAAAAATCTCAGCAGCGAGCAATATCTAGCTGTCTGTGTCTGGAAGCTAACAAACATAAGTCTTGGCTAATATTTGAGTGGAAGACATCCAAGGAGTGCCAGAGCTATAGGCTAGACTGCAGAGTTAGAAAAATATATAAGACAATGGCAAATTGTTTCTGTATTGCTGCCAGGAAAACATCACGGACGTGTCCTGGAAGTCATCAGGAGTCAAGCATGACTGGAAGGAGACTTCATTTTAATGTTGTAAAGGTCTATTAGGTGCTGTTAAGAATGATATATCGATACCTCCAAATTCAAGGCAATATAATTCTGAAGAGCAGTTATAAGAAAGTTGGTTTCATTCATTGAAGGCATTGTTGCATTCATCCTCTGCTCATAAAAATTCTGAAGAATCCAGATTAATACAAAGGGAAAATAATGGGTGGGTAGGTAGGGGAAACTGAATACTTGCATTGTCTACCAGGGACTGTAATATTTTCCTAAAGACAGGAAAATTAGCGGGGGAATATAGAGTTCTCCATTTTTATCTTTTTTCTTTCCTAACAGGTATGTGAATACTCTTCTGAAGCTCATTCCACCGGTACTAGGACTCCAGGAGCAGCTACGTCAAGCAGTTCAAAATAGGGATATGGAAACTTCTCATGGGATTTGTCGTATTGCTGTAGCCTTAGGGGAGAATCACTCTCGGTGAGAAGTATTAAGTCTTGTGTTGGTATTTAATAACAGTTATTGCTAAAGTGGGGCTAGAGCCATTCAGGGTTCTCTATTCCTCTCAGTTTGCAATCTCTTGAATTCCATTTAGAGATCTAGAACAGCAGTTGCCAACCAGTGGGCCACTGGTGGTCCGCGAAAATTTTTTGGTGGACCGCAGAGAAATGTCACCCACAGAGCACCCCCCAAAGCAATTAATCCAGGCTGCACAGAAACACAAGGCTGCGCCGCCACCCACATGGCCCACGGGAACCCTCCCCACCCACTCACTCCTTACCTGGCAAACTTGCCTGCTAAATTGCTATTTTATTTATTTTTTGACCATCAACTGTTCTGCTGTGCCGGGAGATTTAGATTAGCTAGAAAGCAGGAAATGGTTGGATTTCTTGCTTTCCAGCTAGTCTTTAGATCTTTAGCTCTGCTTTTAAGCACAGCGAAACCTCCTTCCCAGTCCTTAGGACTGAAGGTTCTATTATTCAGTGCAGACTCACGGCAAGCAAATTTTATGTGACACACTCAGGTAGCCAATGGCAGATAGATAGATCACTGAATGATTCTGTGAGCAACTCAATCTGCTTGCCTGCTTTGCCTGATTTTGCGTAAAAGTTGCTCTTTTTTAATAAAAAATTCAATATTTATATAAATATTTATAATATTTATATACAAGCCATGCCCAGCCAGTCACATGACCCCCCAAGCCACACTAACAAATTAGGCCACGCCCACAGAACTGGTTAGTGGTCCCTGAGATTTAAAATTACGAGTTTGGTGGTCCCTGAGGTCCAAAAGGTTGGCGACCCCTGATCTAGAAGATGATTTAGGTGCTAATTTATAATCTTGGTTTTGTGGGGAACTCTACAGAATCTGAGATTGGTTACATGCACGGAAGTTTTTCAGGTTCTAAAACAGTTCCAGCTAATGGACCTCATGAATTGTTGAATCCTATTCCATATGTATTATCTTAACTTCTATATTTTATTAGAGCATCTGTGACCCATTGGGTCATCATTTCAAAGATAATTTCTACTGTAGAGAAACAAAATGATCATGGTCAGGCAAAAAACAGTGGGAGTGACCTCCAACTTTCTGCAAATTTCTCTATTAATTTGCCTTCTGAGAATCTGGCAGAGTGTGGTGGAAATGACAATCACTTGACCACGGCAGCACGGCCACAAAGCAGTGCTTAAACAGCCACAACTTTGCCAAATTTCAATTCCACAGGAATAATGAGTCCCAGATTTTGGACCCATTATTTAAGTGAGCTCATTTGAGATACATTGATTCAAAAGTTGTGCCCTTTGATACACATTCTCATCCAACTGAAGGTTAAAAATGGGAGTTTGGGTCGTATGTAGATTCCTATGGGTCTGCCATGATATAGCAGTTTCCTGATTCTGAATTCTTACTACCTTCCATAGAGCACTTCTGGACCAGGTAGATCATTGGCAGAGTTTCCTGGCATTGGTCAACATGATAATGTTCTGCACCGGAATCCCAGGACACTATCCTGTGAATGAGACCACAAGCTCACTTACACTCACTTTCTGGTATACACTGCAGGTAAGAGTTTTCTTCCTGAAACTGATTCCTTCAATGGTATTTTCTTTGCTTGATATGATTTATTTATAAGAGCCATGGTGGTGCAGTGGTTAGAATGCATTGTTGCAGGCTAATTCGACTGAGTGCCAGGAGTTAGATTCTGACCGGTTCAAGGTTGACTCATCCTTCTATCCTTCCAAGGTTGGTAAAATGAGGACCCGGACAGTTGGGGGCAATATGCTGACTCTGTAAACCACTTAGAGTGAGCTGTAAAGTGGTATATAAGTCTAAGTGCTATTGCTACCTCCTGGTTTAGTGGTTTATGTATGCATATTCGACTTGTTCTGTACTTGTAGTAGAAGCACACATTATATAGTTGGTGTTGATATCAATTCCATAGTATGTAGTATGTAAATCAGTAGACAGTCAGATTTCAGTCAGTCCAAAGTCCTTCTTTGTGATCAATACTTTGCTTATTAAAGTGAAGATTCTTGTTTCCCTCCATGCAGTGAATGTTTTACTGGGTAGTAGAACTATTATCTTGCTGCATCTTGTTTCAACCCATGTTTTATTGTATGTCATTGGATTTGAATATCCATCTTGTGTTTAAGTAGGATGCCTTCTCTACATAACATGGCATATTAGGTAGGCACTCCTGCAGTGCTCAAGAACAAGTACGTTTGTTGCTGCATTTCTAAGTGCCAGCTTGAAATAGGATGAGGTCATTTGTTGTTTCAGTATGTGATTGATGTAGTACATCAGCCCACAGACACATTATTAATGAAGGGTGCTGAACTAGAGCTATATAGTCTATTGGAAAAGTGAGAATTTTTTCTGCTATGTCTACTGTACTTCATAGCAATATACTTACTCTTCGTTCTCACTGTATCTTTGACTTTTCATTGGCTATTTTGTACTAGACTGCATGACTTCATTATAAGAACTAATTTATTCCTTACTTAGACAAAAATAAGAAGATGGTAGTAATTGAAAATGTGAACAGGCATACCTGGTCTGTGATATCTTCCATTTTTGCCTAATTGCTGGGAGATGCTGCTGCTTATTTGGTGGATTGACAAAATATAATATAAAGTTGTTCCCTTACTTTATTTTAAAACAAAGATGGGCAATCCATTCTGGAGAACTCAAATAAACTCAGTTGCAAACGTATATCTAAAAGACATATGTAGGCCTACATTTGTATCTTTTTCCCCATTAAAGCAACAGCAGCCTCTTATTGTTGCCTTGCAAGCTAGAACCTAGGAAAAGTGTTAAATGCCAGGAAAGGAATCTGGGGTGCCTTTGCAAATGAACAAGCCAATATCCGGCAGAGCAGCTGAAAGATTTGAGGAAAGTGGTACGATATTGAATTGTGAATTCTAGCTATCTCATCAGAAAGTGATGATAGCAGTAATTTCTTATGACCATATCCAACTCTTAGGATGGTTGTGTCACATAGTTTTCCTTGCAGTTGAGCAATTATCTTTTTGTTTGCAGGATGACATTCTCTCTTTTGATCCAGAAAAACAGGCAATGTATCAGCAAGTGTATCGACCTGTATATTTTCAGTTAGTGGATGTACTCCTACATAAAGCTCAGTTCCCCTCTGATGAAGAATACAGTTGCTGGTCCTCTGATGAAAAGGAACAATTTCGTATATATCGGTATGACCTTTTGCTTAGTGGTGTCTTTTAATATATGAAACGGCTTGTGAACTGCAAAAGAGTAGTTAATCAGATAGTATTGATTGTAATGAAGGCTGAATGTTGGATTGTTAGTGTTTATTTTAGCTATTTCTATGTATTCTTTGTCTTATAAGCAGATATTCTTGTGATTCTTTTCTCTTCCAGAGTGGACATTTCAGATACTTTGATGTATGTATATGAGATGTTGGGAGCGGAACTGCTGAGCAGCTTATATGACAAACTGGGCCGCCTTCTGACAAATTCAGATCAGCCATCCTCATGGCAGGTGAGGATAGAGTTCTGCTGTCAGATGAGAGCAGCAACTGGTGAGCCATTGGCCAGGACTAGGGACTAGAGAGGAAACAGTGTAGAAGAAGTAATGGAATAAATGGGTATTATGAAACTTTTGGCCATTTTTCCAGTTTGAGATCTATATAGGCTATTTCTAACATGGTTAACAACCATTCACAAATATGACTGTTGTAAAAAAAATCATTTTCTGACCAATGTGCATATTTATCACCACTTTTTAGGGAAGTTCTTGCGGCAGAGAAAAGCAGCTCAGGAAGACATATCTTGTTTAAGCAATCTCTCTGTCTTACAAGGTGGGAAAAAGGAAGAAAAGCGGGTTAGGCTCAGGACACAGTGCAAGATCACTTTATCTGAATGCAAGGACAGCAACCAGTGATCTTCACAATAGTGCTCTCTCTCTTTCTCTCTCCCTCTCTTCCTCTCTCTCTCACACACACTTGCACACTCAGCTACTATTTTGCTTAACGAGTTGTTGGAATGAAATGTGGTTGCTAAATGAAAATTAAACTGCCAATAATCAAGTGCTCCAGCTGAATTTTAGTGAAATGATCTGGATACCTTGGGGCCTCAAACTGAAGCTGTGAGTTTTTTTACTCCTAGATTCATATAGAGATTGCTATAGTAAAGGCACAGTCCCATTCCCTCCGGTGTTACAGAAACCGATGCTTTTACTGACAGTTTAGTGAAAGGTATTAGATATGTCTGCTACATACAGATAGTTTTAATGTTGGGCCACATGTCCATATATGGCAGCTGATCAAAATGGATCACCGACCTCTGTTATCGGAGTGCTACTGGTGTGGCAAACAGTGATGGATATGAAGTACCAATGATGGTAGGGGTTCCTTATCCATCACGGTGACAGCAAACAAAAAAATGGAGCCCATGATTTACAAACCAAAGCATTTAGAAGTAACAATCATGCCGATGCTCCAGAATACTGAGCATATGTTGTAAACGAAGTGATGTGTCTATATAAAACGGCCCATTGAAAAGGAAGGTATGCAAGATATTCTGCTTCTTCTTTCCCCATTTTGAAGTAGTGAAACTGTGAGAAGCCAAACTAGTTAACTTTCAGTCAATTGCTGCTCAGGCCATATATGCAATGGATCACAGAATAAGGACAATGAGTATAATTGGGGATGTACATCCCAGATTCAGATGTAAAAATAATAATAATAATACTTGCTTGAAAAATAATACTTGCTTTGGGGAAAAATTTATATCATAGAATTAACTCTAAGAAAGAAAATGACAATTATATTTTTCTGTGTGAACTAGCTCCATACTGTGCCTCTTTTGTCAGAATCAAAATTTGAGAGGGAGCTGTTTGGTGCTGGATTCAAAACATCTCTTTTTGTTTCTGGCAGAACACGGAAGCTTTACTTTATGGGTTCCAGTCCATTGCAGAGACCATAGATGTAAACTATTCAGATGTGGTTCCTGGCCTTATCGGCCTCATCCCGCACATCAGCATCAGCAATGTACAACTTGCAGACACGGTGATGTTTACTATTGGTGAGGAAACTGGGCAAGTGGAGGGGAGAAGTTGTTGAATGGGGAAGATTGCAATTCTGAGATTATGTAGCTGTTACAAAAGGATAGCTTAACTTTGAGAAGGGTTCTGCACACTAATACTTTGAGAGCTGAGTGAGATTATATGTGGGGAAGAGGTTTTCAGCCAAGCGGTGTTGTTTGGTAAGAAGTTGCTATGCTATTCCCTGAATTTGCTTGTTATATCAGCAAAGTAATCTTGACTCGTTTTCTTTTTGTTACTAGGGGCTCTATCAGAGTGGCTGGCTGATCACCCTGTAATGATCAACAATGTCCTGCCCTTGGTATTGCAGGCTCTGGGCAATCCAGAATTATCTATCTCTAGTGTCTCTACTCTTAAGAAGATATGCCGTGAGTGTAAATATGACTTGCCTCCGTATGCTGCCAACATTGTTGCTGTCTCTCAGGTAACACAAAACATGGTTTAATGCAATTAAAATCATAGATGGATAATTAAAATAAATAATACCCTTATTGAAATAGATCCAGAAGTTTCATCCATCACTCTCTATGTCACCATACCCAATAATGGAATATTTGAGATTAGCCTATATTTAGAAAAAAAGACACTTGGTCAAAAGAAGGCTTTTTCAATAGAGGTGGTAAAACTGTCTCTTTTAAACAGGCAGCAGCACATTGTTGTCTCAATAGTTGCAGATCAGCTCCCTTGATATCATGGCAACAGTAGCTGTCAGTCTAATCAGCCAGCAAAGTCAGTGGTTCAGCAAGCAAATGCTGACCTTCGTCTCTCCACCTACCCTGCCCATGTCCTTGAGATTGACAAGCCAAAAAGAAACCACATGAAGTTATTTGGTTATTTCCTTGTGACCTGCCCCAACCCTGGAATCCAAATCAAATTAAACCATTCTGCAGAGAATGATGAAAATTGCTCACAGCGAGCTTCCAACTGTTCCAGCTTCTCTCCCCAGTATGTTGATGGAGGCAAGGCCACATTAAAAACAGAGGATGAGTCATCTGTAGTATGCACAGGGTGAGTGCAGATATGTGTTTATAGATTTATAAGGTGGGGGGAGGGCATGGATGTGTACAGAATAATAAGGAAATAAAATGTATAACTTAGTCCTCTTCATTGTTGGTATGCAGCGTCTGACTTAGAAATTACCTTTCTGAGGATATATGGTCCTTGAGGGTGGGTAGGAAGAATTCCATACTGCTGGTATTCAAAGAGTGAAAAATCTAAGCTTTTTAAGCAATATTTAGCATTGATATAGATGCACAATAGTAGTCTTTTTACAGTAGTAAGAATAATAAGAGCATTCTAAATAGCATATATGACCTGTATCGATGTGTGTTTATAGATGAATTCAACTGAGTTGATAATCTTTGTATCTTGTCCAACTACAGATTTCTGGTGAGATGATTGCATGAAAAGTAGAGGCCGTTCTTTTCCCAGTAATAGAAATTTAGTTAGGATGGCTCATTGTCTTTCCCTTGTTTAAATGTTACCTATGTTGTATATGATAAGTTCTATTGACTCTGGCAAGTAGAATCCCGGAGGCAAAATCTTTACAATCAATTGCCTATAATGAAATCCTGATTGCTATTCTTTTTTTTTTTTTATTTGTACATTTTTCTCTGAAGCCTCCAATCCCCTAGAATCTGTATTTGGCTCACAGGATTTTCAGGTGGTACTATGGTTAGGGCATTGTTGATGTAACTAAATTCCACATTAGAGGCAGCATTCACTTTCTTGATTCTTTCCCTCTGTAGGAGGTGCTAATGAAGCAGATTCACAAGGTAAGATTGTTTTCCCCATTCGTCAGGAAATTACAAGTATGCATAAGATATGGTTTCTTATCAAACTACAGTATTTCAGTAGAGTTGAACATTACAGCCAATGTGAGGGTTTATTCGTGAGACAAAATGAGGCTTTCAGTTCTTAAATAGAGATTTAGTTATGTCTCCTAATAACAGAAATGGCCGTTCCTATATATCCTGAATCATGCCATTTATAAACAAGTTTCAGGATAAATTCTCACAAGGCATTGTTAAGTTTAAGCTTGTAGATAATTAAGGATTGAGTGGGAGGATGAAGTGAAATTTTTAAATGCAATAATAAAATTGAAAAAGCTATCCATCTCTTCTTTTTAGACAAGTCAGTGTATGTGGTTGATGCAGGCTCTGGGTTTCTTATTGTCTGCCCTCCAAGTGGAAGAAATTTTGAAGAATCTACATTCGCTTATAACTCCTTACATCCAACAATTAGAGAAATTGGCCGATGAAACGGTGAGCTACATCAGATGCCTGTTAATAGTTTCTGCTTTTTCTCAAGGAAGACTAGACCTCATTATCCTTTTTGTTACAAGTCATGCTTAATTTGAGAGTCCTCTTTTGCTTCCTTTCATTGGTGATTTCTGCCATTGTCCTTTAGTTTGTATTCTTCTTTGTTACAATCCCATTTATCACTTCTACATTTTCTCTTATTAACATGGGGTAGAATAGGATGGATATAGAAAGTATCTCTGAAGGGTGGTTTAGCTACTTTTTATATTATCCAAGTGGAGAGAAATGCACAGTGATGCATGACTGAGCTCCCTGTTGCTCCTTGCTAGTTTTGCACTATTTTTGGAACCAAATGCTGCCCAGGTAGTCCTTGGCTGACAATTTAGCAATTCTTCGAAGTTACAACAGATCTCCTATTTACTACTCGGTCCCGGTGGCTACTCCTGTGGTCACATGACTGCATGTCAGGCACTTGGCAACCAGCATGTATTTATTATGGCCATTTGCAGTGTCTGTGATCACATGATTGCATTTTATGACATTTTTGCCCAAACTCTGGCATTTACTTCCCGTTTGTGACAAAATGGCTCATAGCTTACAATGGTTTCGCTTTACAATTGCCACGTTGCTTAATGACCTCTGCAAAAGTCATTAAATTGGATTGGACACATGTGTGACACTTCATGACTGTCACAACTTAGAATAATAATGGTCTACTCTAAGGGCATCCCTGTCTTACCTTCAGTACAGTCAGCTTTTGGGTGGGGGGAGGCTGACAGGTGCTAGCAGACCAAGGCTCTGCTTCATCCCTCAGCAGATCACAGGAGAGGGCAGAACTGCTCATCTCTTCTGCCTTTTCAGGCTTCCTCTTCCATTGTCTTTCTCCATTAAGAGATGCATATTTTTCAGACTGGAAAAAGCTGCTTACTCTGTTTGCTGCTGCCACAATTATTCAGGCTGCACTATAGTTTTGCAGATCTAAAAGCTCCACTTGAGGTGGAGCAATTGAGCATGGCCAGTACTGAAAGGAAACCCCTAGGAGGCACACTAGTGGCAAGGTATTATCACCCCAAAGTGATTAGACCAGGGGTGTCCAACCTTGGCAACTTTAAGCCTGGAGGACTTCAACTCC